TGGCCACCCAAAATCCCGCCCCCTTCAACAAAATGGCCACGCGTAGCCTTTAGGAGGCTTCCAGAGTGCTCCTGGAGGCTGGGGAGGGCAGAAATTAGTGAAAAATAGACCATTTGTTGCTCAATTTTGCACCCCCCAGCCCCAAGAGCAATCTGCAAGTCTCCTAAAGGCTATGCATGCCCCTTTTTTTGACAAAAAATGGGCCAGTTTTTGCGAAAAACGGGCCGTTTTTGGGAGGTCTGCAGAGTACAAAAAAAAAATTTTTTTCATTTGCCTCCTCAAAATCTTGGTACATCTTATACTCTGGTGCGTCTTACACTCTGAAAAATACGGTACTTTTGCGTAACCCAAAGACCACCTTGCTCAAAATACCAAACGCCCGTTTGCGTTCTTTGTCTGCCTCTTTTTATAGCCCGTTCTTTCTCTTTGCTCTTTTCCTGGTTTACTTGATTCCTTTTAACAAATAGCCTAAAATTAGCCTGCCATTGAAATGGTGTTATCTCCTCCAGGCAGTCTGGTCTGTCCCCTATAAACCCTTTGAAAGAAGCCGCTTATTAACGCAGCCACCTCCCCTTCCGAAGCTAATTTTACCCATCCTTCTTACAGGAATTTTTATCGGATGTCTCGTGGTAAAACCAAACCCCAGGACAGGTTTTTTTGAAAAAAAAAAAGTCCTGTCGAAACAGAGAGAAGCAAACACACTCCCCCCTAGAGAATATCCAATAAAAATAAATTGGACTAACCTTCTTAAAAAATCTATTTTCAGCAGGGAAGCAGCCTGTGGCTCATTCTGGCATTCAGTCTTAATGCAGAAGGAATTGCTAGCTTCTGCAATTCTCTATCTAGCATATTTGAATGCACACCACAAAGGTACGTGGGTAGTCTTTAATTTATAATCATTTGTTTAAAGTCACAATGGCACTGAAAAAAAATGACTTATGACCAATATTCACAAACTGTGAATTCACGTGACTCAGATTCGGGTGCTTGGCCACTGGCATGTACTTATGACAGTTGAACGGTCCCAGGGTCATGTGATCAGCATTTGCAACCTTCTCAGCTGGCTTCCAAAAAGTAAAGTCAATTGGGGAATCCAGATTCACATAATGTTTGCATAATTCACTTAACTGCAGTGATTCTTTTAACAACTCTGATCACTAAGCAACCAGTTGTAAGTTGAGGACTACTTGTATATATTGACGTGTATAATTGTGTATGTATATGTATATCAGTGGTGGGTTTCAGAACCTCTTCTGTAGGTGTGGCCTGCTTTGTGGGAGTGGCTTGCCAGCCATGTGACTAGGTGGGCGTGGCCAACTTGTAAAAATGTGGTGAAATTCACTTAACAATGCTCTTGCTTAGCAACCAAAATGTTGGNTTTGTTGGATGTGAACGAGCAGAATTCACAGTCAATTAATAAAAGTTTTTTTTCTGTTGGGACCAGGAGTTTGCTTCATGCTCTTGGGAAGCCTCGCTCAGAACACAATCAGATTTGATTTGTGAGGATCAGTTCCTTCTAAAGTTTAGAGACACTGCGTATCTAGCCAGTGTCCTTCAAAATGGAAGTCAATAAGAAGAAAATAAGATAAATGAAATTGCCACCCACAGGAGGCGCCAAATTTTCAGGAGTTGATCCGAATTGTAAATGCACAAGAGCAAACATGTAATGCATTATTCCAGATCTATGCATGCGCGTTTATGTGTGTCATCAGTACAATAGCATAAGTAACAATTGAGCAATTTTCCTTTGAGTGTACACCTGTCACAAGGCAGCTTCCCAAAGCAACTGAACCAAAGGCGCCTCTTTTGAGATGTTGCTGTCGCTTGAAAAGGACAGCCGCCTGGCGCTTGGAACACAGCAATTATTTTTTAATATAACTTTATTAAAAGAAACGCAAAAGCAATTCTTCAGGAACATGTTTTACGAGGAGCAAAGGGTATCAGATTTTTCTTTTCCAGCTCAAACCATTGTAAACAGGGACTGGAAAATGTCACTACACGAGACAAGAAAATTGAAATGCTGCCTTCAGAATCTGTGAAGAGCGATCGCGTGGAAGAGGACAAAGATTAATTCCTTATTGCCTTAAAGAACAGGATCGGATCAAATGAGATCAAGTCGGCTGAAGGGGGTTGATAATCAAACTTTTTGACAATAAAATCAATTGCCTCGAAGGCTCCTTTTTTCTTTTCTTTTTGATAGAGCGCTTCAACCAATGTCGAAATTCATCCCGTGTTGAGAATGCTCTCGGTTTCCAGCACAAAACAAGGGATTAATTAAATTGTATTAGGTGGCCTACGTGGTTCTTTCCAGTGTTATGATTTCATTTCCTTTTTCTTGTGAATGAAGGCAAATATACGTGTCCCAGGAAAATGTGGCAGGAACCAATCTCGGTCGGTCTACTGGTTTTAGTGACCAGAGTTTTAGTCTTCCAAGTTTTCGGACTTGTCTCTGGAGCCCATCCGCAGGGAACTTCTTTCTAGCCGAGAGCAAGGGTGGCTTTCAAAAATTTCAACAAGAGGCTCTCTGCCAGGTTGCTGGGTGGGCATGGCCATGGTGGGCGTGGCCTAGTCATCCTCCTGCACCACAGTGGGGAGGAGAGGCGTTTTCACCTTCCCCAGACTATGGAGGCTTTTCTCAAGGCTCTGGGAGGATGAAAATTGCCTCACCCAGGCTCTGGACGTCTTCTGGAGCTTCCAGGAGGCCCCTTCCCCCTCCCTGAGCCTCCACACGGGGCCTGCACTTACCTCGCATCCAAAACAGGTCGCGTGGAGACTCCTGGGAGGGGCTGGGGCAGCCAGGGGTGAGATTTGGAGGTTCTCTGAACCAGCCATAACATTAGCTACAGGTTCTCCCGAACCTGGGCGAACCTGTAGCAGTCCACCCCTGGCCGAGAGGCTAGCAGAGTGTTAGCCAAACACCTTAATAGCCAGCCACCTCCAATCAACATCTAAAAAGCCACACACAACAAGCACTGCTTAAATACCATACATAGAATAGCTCAGAGAAGCACAGAATAGCCCAGAGAAGCATAGAATAGACCAGAGAAGCCCAGAGAAGCTAGAGAGAAGTTCCCTGAGGATGGGCTCCAACATGAGTCCAAAGCTGGGAAGGCGAAACCTCTGGTCCCAGATTACATCCTTTTTTCCTTGTGTTCTTAGAATGAAAAATAGGGAGCAACACATCATCCAGGTGCAGAACATGTATTTAATTTCTTCAATCAAAGAAGATTTTATAGGACATTTAGGACACATTTTTCATTAGACAGTTCCCTATTGTTTCTTCTCTGTTGTGAAGCAAAGCTGAGATATTTTCACTCAAATTATAGTTTAAATCTCAAGGAATGAGATTCTTTTTGGAGAGTCATTGAGGCCACGCTGCCAACAGATAAGCCTCCACGTGGCTTCAATGACTCTCCAGAAAGAAT